CCCCAAAACCCCAAAACCCCAAAACCCCAAAACCCCATTTTATTTATTAATAATTGCGAAAGATTCAAATAAATATATGGTAAGACTTTACAAGTTGTCGGATAGGTTACATTGGACTTAACTTCTTCTGTAGATGCTTGTCTTAAACCAATTAGCCAACTGATATTTACACTTATTTCTTATGCAAAGCTAGTTATGGTATAAAAAGTGTTAGTCTTTAGCCAATTTGATAGATCTTAATAATCCCAAAGAAGTTTTATGCAATGTTATAGCCAAAGAAGAGCACAGTTTTAGTAGATCCGACAGCCCAACCAGTATTATCAAGCCCAAGAACTATGGAAGGTAGCTCCCATTGCTCATCATTTAGCCTGCAACAAACTTGGATACACGCTTGAAGAGCTAAAGTTCAAGACCAAACATGAGCTAAAGATTAAAATGGGAGATCTTCAGGTTACCAAAGAGGTCCTTGACATCAGGTGGAACGCATATGAAGATAACAGGAAGAATAAGATTAATAAAGTGATGGACGAAAGAAGAAAAATAATTGAGAAAAATGAAGAATATAGTAAGTGCCTGGCTTAATTTACCTTTAATATTGTTAATATAGTCAGTTCTGCAGCATTGCTAACTTCCATCGACCGTAACTCACCTCAAAGACTTAAGGACATCAAGCTGCATAATAGTGTTTTATACCAGGATATCGAGAACATGATTGAAGAGGATGAGGAAATCAGGAAGCAGAAACTAGAAATCGAGAAAATCAAGCAAGATCATCAAAAGGAACTTGAGAAGTACCTCAAACAGGAAATTAGTAAGAAATCTCATCTAAATCTAGACAATGAGTTCTCTATGGATACCGTGAATAAAAGCGCTCAGGAATTCGCCAAGGAAAACTTGCTGAAAAAGAAACAGAAGGAAATAGAAGAAATCAAGATGCATGCCCAGATCAAGAGACAACAATTTGAAGAAAGAGAAAAGAAGGCTAAAGAGAAGGAAATGCAAGACAAAATGGAGCAAATGGACCGTCTTGAGGAAGAACGCAAGGGCTTACAACAAGACTATGACCTCCAAGAACAGAAGATGAAAGAGTCACATAAGTAATCATTTTTGCTAAATTTTAGGAAGTTAATGGATAGAATGAAGAGAGATAACATGACAAAGCAACAAATCGACCAATTCAGAGCAGAACAAAAGAATAAGATGGAAGAGAGAAGGTCAGTGTTCGACAGAAAGGTAATTTACTTCTTGACATCCCTACAGTTATCCAATATTGAAGATAGAATACAAAACGTACACAGAAGTAGAGAAAGGATAGTACAGTCAATAAAGCAAGACCATGACCAAAGGATGACAAAGACACAGGAAAAGTTCCATAACAACCTCAGATCTTTCCAGAACAACATCAGCGTGAAGTACAACAAAAAGGTTGAGAGGGCTCAGGAACAACTGGCTAAACTTGAAAATATCAAGGAAGAAGAGATTCATAAAAGGAAAAAGATAAGTTATCACAACAAAGAAAAGGTTAAACAAAAGCATGATGAGTTAATGGCCATGCGCTTAAGGGAGCTCAAGCGTAAGAACAGACAAACCGAGCAGCACTTCCTTAGCTCCCAGAATAAGAGAAAGCAGGAGCTTGAGGAGAAGAGAAAGGAAGCTGAACTTAGAGAGAAGCACAGGGAAGAAGTCAGAAGTAGAGTTAACCAAGAATTCCAAGAGAAACTCCACAAGACAAGCGTTAAACTGGAGAAAATAGATGAGAAAGCAGAACGAGTCAAAAGAGAGAAGGAAAAGGAAAGACTCCTGGCTATAGAGCTAGAAGCTATCAGGAGAAGAGAGAGGGAAGAAGAAGCAAAGAGGATCCTCAGAGCTGAAGAATATAAGAGAAACCAAGATGCAAATGAGAAAGAGAAACAACATATCAAAGCAACCTATCTAATGTCCAAAAGAAAGGAAGTCAAAGAGCTTAGGAAGACAGTCAGACAGAATGCTTTACTGTATAAAGAAAAGGTGAAACAGGAGGTGTCAAAGCTTAAGAAGAAGAGAAAGTTGAGTCCTGACAGAATTCATATCAATGTTGACCCTTACTCCACAGATAAGATGTATATCTCTCATGATACTAGTAATCAGTTTCTAAAATTAGGTATAGGCAAATCTAGCAGCCAACCGGACATAAATAGCATCAAAAGAAAGGGAAGAAAGTTTGCTCCATCCGGAAGTTACGTATCTTCAGACAAAGACCAAGAAAGAGGAAACTAGACATTTATTCAATATTTCAACACCTCTAACAAAACCAGGGGTTTTGGGGTTTTGGGGTTTTGGGGTTTTGGGGTTTTGGGG